TGTCCTTGCTTAGATTCTGCCTCTCACTTGAAGGATGACCCTGCCTATAGTTTCCTGCTGTCACCCTGCATCCATGCATGTGTGTGCACACACACATACACCACACACCCCACACACACAACACACACATGCATGTGGAGGCCAGGGGTCAACCTGAGGTGTCATCTTTAGGCACTGTATGTATAAAGCCTCCCTGCCCCAATAGGCTTTCTCACTGAACTTAGAGTGCACAGGCTAAACCAGTGAGTCCCCTTTGTCCTAGTCCCGAGATTACAGCATGTACCAACAATGCCCAGGTTTCTGCAAGGATTCTGGGTTGGCACTCAGGTTCTTATGCTCACACGGAAAGCCCCACACCCATCCTTCATTCTTGCATGTGTGTGAAGGCACAAGCACATGCACATATATGTGGGGGCCCACCCAACATTTGTGTTGGTTTCTGGGGATTCGAACTCAGAGCTGGTTCCCCAGCTCCACCCCCATCTTCCCACCTGCAGCCTGAGGGCTCCAGAACCTGCTTCCATCTGTACAGAACAGAGAGAGCTTAGGTGACTGGCAGCTGCTGTCCTCAGACAGCCTGCCTGCCTTTCTGCCTTCTGGCATCTCAGAACTTTGCTTCCTAAGGGACATGGCATCCTGCCTCTCCCTCCTATAGAAAGCAGTCTCCTTTACCCTGACCTTTTGCTGTCCCTTTAGCCAGGGGAGTCCCCAAGAGATCACCTCTTCATAGGACTGAGCCTTCTGGTGCACACCTGGGACTCTTGCACCTGGGAGGCTGAGACAGGGGATTGAAAATTCAAAACAAGAGCCTGTCTCATAAAACTAAAACCCCTGGGGTGTGGTCTGGTGTCTAACGGGCTTCTCTGGTCCTGAACACCCCGTGTCCTGTCACAGCTCATTGCTAGAGGAAGCAGCATGCCCTCTGTAACCCCGGGGAGGAAAGTCTGTTGCGTGTGGCCAGCTTCCTGCGGTCTCAGCCCAATGCCTTCCCCTTGGCTGGCTTCACCTGGGGTTCATGTCTGCTTTCTTGCAGCCTTGCCAGCAAGGCACTGAACACAAGACGGTGTTTGTGACCCTCCCATAGTCCTTTGCTTAAAATGTCTCTGGTTTCCCCCTACTCTAAATGGTAAAGAACAGCTCCCCCCGCCCCCCTCCCGCTGCAGCTCTGCCTACGTACCTGGTCTCAGCTGCCTCTCCCTGCTTAGCCACACTGCCTCCATTCAGCCTTTGTACTAGGCAGGTTTGTCTGGCCTCAGGGCCTTTGCACACATACGTGGCTTCCTCTGGCCTGGAATATGTAACCTCTCTCGTGTTGTCATCTAGCTTTTCTTTCCTCTTTTAGGTTCCTTCCAAGTATCCCAGCCTGTCCTGATCATACACTCCTGCACCTCCTCTGTCACCCTCATGCCCAACTGAACACCCCAGGGTGCAGGCTGCACAGGTTCCTACACACACCATACCTTCCCCGCCCCCACCCTGGCTCCGTGTGTGTGTGTGTGTGTGTGTGTGTGTGTGTGTGTGTTAGGAGGAATTGCCTATTTATAAAATCAGGGAAGTCTGTAAATAGGCGTTGAAGTCTTTCCTTCTCAAGGGTGGGGAGGAAGTTTGAGGTTTGCAAAAACAACCCCTCTGTGGCCGACTGACTCAGGTGTGGGGGACTGGTGAGCCAGGTCTGTCGAGAGCCATGCTCAACTCACCTTCACCTGGAAAGTCAGGGATGCACTTGGAGGCTGTGTGGGACAATGACTTTCACACAAGAATGGGACGGTGGCGCGTCCTCCCCAACCCTAGAACAGCCACTAACTCAGGACCTCTATTCAGAGTTGCCTAGAACAACACCACATCCCGACCACATGGCTCCAGATTGGCCTCATTTACTGATGCCAAAGAAGAGAGGATAAGAGACTTGCTAAGAGTCAGATAGCTAGGAAACAGCTGGACTGTAATCCAGGGTGCCTGGAGGAGTGGCCCTTGACTCCTATTCCCCACTCAAGATGTAGCCCAGGGCTGCTGAAGCCAATGCTGTGGGACAGAAGTTCTCCAGACAGAAGTATTGTCATGCCTCATCCCTGGCACTCTCTGACACGTTACCCTAGGTGGACCCCTCTACTGTCCACCTCTCCACTCCACTTCTATAGGGCTGATGGCCACCCTGTCCCAACAGGCGGGGAAGTGTCCTGCTCCTTTCCCTAGAGGACAGACATGATGATGTTCAGGGAATGAGAGACAGATGCAAAGCCTGTGACACCAGCCACTCCACATCGCCCAGTATCACAAGCTGGGCTGCTTCATAAAAGCAGAGGAAGGGCAAATTTTCCATCTGGAAGCTGTGTGCTGTCATCTGGTTTCCAGTGTGAGGGTGATGCTCCAGCCATGGAGTCCACAGAAGAAAGGCCTCGGGCCCCTCCTTGCTACTCCCTTCTGGAAAGAGCCAAGGAACATGGAGGAGACAAGGAGAAGCCACTCTCGCCGCCATCCAGCTTGTGTCTCCAGCTACCTGAGGAAAACCTCAACACAGCTGACAGAGCAGAGATGACCTACAGGGACAGTTTGGTGTTGCTCCGAAGACACCTCAACCATGAATGTCAAGGACAAGTGGATTGTGCTCACTTAGGGCTGGGCGTGTGTGACTTTGAGCCTCCTCAGCCTAAAGAGTGCAACCTATTTTTTTTTTTTTTTTTTTTGGTTTTTCGAGACAGGGTTTCTCTGTGGTTTTGGAGCCTGTCCTGGAACTAGCTCTTGTAGACCAGGCTGGTCTCGAACTCACAGAGATCCGCCTGCCTCTGCCTCCCGAGTGCTACTTTTTTAACATGTAGCTGACACCTGCCAGGTGGTGGTGGTGCACACCTCTAATCCCACCATTCGGGTGGCAGAGGAAGAGTCAGGCAGATCTCTGTTGAGTTTGAGACCAGCCTGGTTTACAGAGTGTATCCCAGGGCAGCCAAGGCTGTTACACGGAGAAATCGCGTCTTGAAAATACCCACCCCCCACAAAAAAAAGAAGAAGCTGAAACCCGTGCCTTAAGGCTGTGTCTGTCCTTCCATCTGTCTGTCTGTCTGAATACTTAATGAACTCACTACCTTTGTCTCAGTCTGGCTTGTCCTGAAATTCTTCTCTATGTCATGGTCAAGGGTCTGACTTTACCCAAGTGGAGCTTCCCGACAGGGAAGGAAGCTCTCAAAGCTGTGTCCCCACCAGTACCACTGGCTGTGCACAGAGGGCCAGCTGCATGTTAGAATGGCCGGGAATCATTCCTGCAGAGCTGGGATGGAACCCGGGGGGCCTCCTGCAGAGCAGATCAGCCTCTTGCTTGGCATACAAGGGTCACACTCAGAGCTCCCAAGCACCCCGTAAGTGCGCAGTGAGGCTGACAGCCACAGCCAAGCTCGGCGCCTCCAGAGGAAATGAGCCAGTGGGGCACCCCACCCCCGGCTCTGCGCACCTGGCTTCCAAGCCCTGCAGATGGGCCAGGCACGTGCATTCATCTGAACTGTGGAATAAGACCAGAACATGTACCACAACCCTTGCTTGTCCTATCGTGGAGTCGGCAGCCTGTGACATAAGTGGCAGTTGCCCCCAGGCACCCTGCTAATGCCACAGACCACTGTTAGGTGTAAGTCTCAATGTATTTCTGTGGGCTAATGTTATTGTTCCCGTTCCCCAGAATGGAAAACTGAGGAGCAGGGAAAGGAAAAAGGAGAAAGGGGCTCTAAGGAAGTGTGGCCATGCCCATCTCGGCAGAACTGGTGACCACCAGTCAGCTCTGTGCGGAGTTGCACACCCACCACCACCAATGCCTGTGTTCTCAAAACCTAGGAGGGCCAGGAGCCAACAACATGGTTCAGCAGGTAAAGTACCTGCCACCAAGCCTGACCACCAGAGTTTGATCCCCGGGACCCATTTGGTCGAAAGAGAGAATGAACTTCCACAAGTTGTCCTTGGGCAGCTACAACTATGCCACGGCACAGTACACATGCAAACACACAGACACACAAATACATAAGTATAATTTAAAAAGAGAAAAATCTAGGCATGCTGGACAAGTTCAAAGCATGGTGTACCAGGCCAGGCTCAGCCATGTCAGGAACATGCCGCCTGCCACAAGGGGTCCTGGCCAGCCATTTAACAATGGAGATAGACCCTCTGTGGTGAGAGTATGCCCCACCCGGCTCCAGTTTCCCAAAGTGTGTCCCAGCTGGGTTCTGCATTCCAGGATCCACTTCCCCTGCTGGCCCACACCCTGGTACAGGCTGGTGACAAGCCTTCAGCACCTCGCAATTTATCCCTGCATCTGTCCAGCTTCATTCTGATCCCCAGACCCACCTGGACCCCTATTTTAGTTTCAGCTATGGCTGCTCCTTCTGGGGACACCTCTGCCTATATCAGTGCTCATAATCACTAGTACAAAAACACACGCACAAACTAAAACGCAACCTGGACCAGTGTTGCCATCATCCCCGCCATGTCACCTGTCTCTCACTATAACCAAAAACTGAAGACAACTTCATCCCACTTGTCATAGGTGGCAGACCCATACCTTCCATGCTGGGTCCCAAGAACCTTCCTGAAGAGCCCAGCAGTTTTACCAAGCCCACTCCTCACTGCAAGTACCCACAGCACCAAGTCTGAGACCCTGCTGTGCTTTCTCGCAGTTGGACGCCAAGGAATCCTGACTTTGCTTCAATGAGACAGTGGCAGGTCTCAAACTCCCTGTAGCCGAGGATGACCTTGAACTCTTGACCCTGACCCTCCTGTTTTAGGATTGTAGGTTTGCCCCACCACACCCAGCCAAGCTCTGACGTCATGGTTCTTAAACTAGAAATCAGGGTTTGCATGGTGGACCGTGGCTCCCCTGCCTCCGGGTCCTGTGAAACCTAGCAGCAGCTTTCCCGTCCTGACTGCAGGCACAGTGCAACCCTTACACTGGGGGTTCTCTCTGACCTGCAGGAAACTTCCACAGGTTGCTCCTCTCACAGCGGGAGCCTTCAGACAACATTTACCTTTTGGTCTTGGGAAGCCATTTTCCCTTTTGTCTCAGGATCCAACAATGACAGAACTGATGTGTCACCCTGCTGTCACCGAGGGTACGCTCTGCAATCTGTCCTCACAGTTTGAACAGCGCCTGAAAATAAGGTCACAAAATGTGTTGGAAAGGTACAATCTGGGAAGACAGTCAAACCAATATTAATGAACACCTGTTTGAGTGCTGGATCCACCCTCCAGCATCTGTGAGATGGATACAGTAGTCACTGTTGCCAGGGAATAGAAACAACCACGTCCACCAATGGAGGGATGGCTAAAGAGCCACACAATGGAATCTAGCCTTCAAAAAGGAAACACTAACAGCTGCTACAGTGTTAGAGCCCTGAGAACACCACACTAAGGGAAAACAGCTAGATTTAGCACCTTGTATGCTGAGCCTGGCATGGTGGTATATCTGTAATCTGGTACTCAGGAGGCTGAGGCAGGAGGATTATGAGTTCAAGGCTAGCCTGGACTGCATGGTGAGGTCCTGTCTCAAAATTAAAAAGGAAAATTGGGCTGGGCTTTAATCCCAGCACTCTGGAAGCAGAGGCAGGTGAATCTCTATGATTCGAGGCCAGCCTGGTCTACAGAGTGAGTTCCACGACAGCCCGGGCTGTTACACAGAGAAACCCTATTTTGAAAAACAAACCAAAAAAAGAAAAAAGAAAACAAATCAGAGATGGTGAGATGGCGCAGCAGGTGAAAGTAAAAGTGGTTGCACCATATCTGACGGCCAGTTCACGGCGGGGAGAACAGACTCTCACAGGTTCCCCGCTGGCCTCCACACTGTGCTGTGGGACACACACACACACACACACATACACACACACACACACACACACACACATACACACACACACACATACACACACACATACACACACACACACACATACACACACACACATACACACACACACATACACACACACACACACATACACACACACACATACACACACACACACATACACACACACACACACATACACACACACACATACACACACACACACACATTTTGAAAAGAAATTCTGAGACAAGCTTGTAACATGTAGCTCTGGCTGGCCTGGAGCTTGCTATGTAGACCAGGCTGGCCTTGAACTCGCAGAGATCCACCTGCCTCTGCCTTCCTAGCACAGAATTAAAGGTGTGCACCCCTCAACAAATAATTTTCTTTTAAGATTTATTTTTAAAGTGTGAGTGTGTTGCGGTGTCAGGGTTGTGCATGTGAACGCGAGGGCCCTCGCAGGCCAGACAGAAATCCCCCTGAAGTTGCAGTTTCATGTGGTTATCAGCTGCTCAGCGTAGTTGCTGGGAAACGAACTCAGGTCTTCTGCAAGAATAGCACACATGCTACCCCTAAGCCATCTTTCCAGGTCCTGGCCCACCTTTTTTTTTTTTTTTTTTTTTTTTTTTTTTTTTTTTGGTTTTTCGAGACAGGGTTTCTCTGTGGCTTTGGAGCCTGTCCTGGAACTAGCTCTGTAGACCAGGCTGGTCTCGAACTCACAGAGATCCGCCTGCCTCTGCCTCTGCCTCCCGAGTGCTGGGATTAAAGGCGTGCGCCAAAGGAAAACTTTGGGCCTTGGTAGCTCTTTTCTTTCTCTGGTTCTGGAATGACTATGTGTGATTTTTTTAAGATTATTTTTAACATAGGTGACAGAGACATATAGTAAAACTTTCAACAATAGAGAGATACATGCCGGTGAGCCAGTCTCTACCCTGCGCCTCCTTCCCAGAAGTGTCTGCTCTGACCAGCAACTAAGTGACCTTCTGGGAGTTCACTTTTTCCCACGAAGGGGGTGAGCATGCTCCCCCTTCACTTTCTTCTCACACAAACATGAGTGACATGCTCCTCTCTCAGAACCGTACTTATATCCTTTTAGGGCGTAGTATGTAGATTGACAGCCCCCCCTGAGCACCCAGGCCCCTTCATCTGGAACCCAGGAGTTTGTCACTTTATGTGTGCACAGCCATTAAATTCAAGATTGTGCAAGAGGAGACTGCCCAGGTGGACACGCTGTCACCAGCAGCAGAGGTGTGAGAGCCACAGAGCTGCCAGCAGAGAGAAGCCCGAAGATGTCGGGTGGCCACCACCACGGAGGAAGGCTAATGCATGCTATGTGCACCCTTAAAATCTGGCAAGGACCCTCAGACGCACCCGGAGCCTCTGGAAGGAAGGCTTGGGGGCCTCTCCGTTTGGACCATGGAAATTGCTTTTAGGCTTTTGACCCACAGAACTATGAGATAAGAGATGGGGCTTTTTTAAAACCACCAAATGTATATATATAGCCCCTGCTACAAACTGAGAACACTCACAGTCCCCTGGGACCACACAGTGGCAGCTCACTCTAGATGGAGGTACTCCACTGTGGGAATGCAGCGAGGCTGCTGGCGGTCACAAGGGATGTATCCCACCCCCTTCCCATCCCAGAACCCCAGTGGGTAACCCTACACACCTTGCATGTGTGTTTGTACATATTCCCAAATGTGAGCCAAGCCAACGCCGGGCATCTTTCTCTGTCTCTCTCCAGGTAACTGTTTTGTGACAAGTCCCCTCACGGAACATGGAGCCAAGCAGTTCAGTGGGACTAAGCAGAACGTGGAGCCAAGCAGTTCAGTGAGACTGAGCCTGAGCGGAACGTGGAGCCAATCAGTTCAGTAGGACTGAGCAGAACATGGAGCCAAGCAGTTCAGTGGGACTGACTGCTAATGAGCCTGCGTCTCCCTGCCTCTACCTCCCAGAACTGGGATTCTGGACAGCTAGCATCACCAACAGCTTTTTATGTAAGAACCAGGGTCAGAGTCAGGTCCTCATGCTGGCACACCAGGCACATTACCAACCGAGCCATCGTCTCAACGCCTCCTGAGTTATTTTTCTAGCTACAGAAGCAAAATATCATCAGTTTGAGAAAAATATTCGAAGATTTAACCCCTCAAAAGCTCCCTCTCCCTTGAGCCTCGCTCTTCTCTTGTGCCCTCCATCCAGCCCAGTGACTGCCAGGGGCCTCAGCAGCTTTGGCAACAGTGGAGTTCAGCTACTACACAGACAGGAGATAACTCAAGGGCAGCCTTCACGACTGCAGGTGAAGGGCCACCAAACCTGACAACCTGAGTTTGTCCCACAGAGTGGATGGAGAAAAATCAACTCTGGCAGATTGTTCTCTGACCTCTACATGCATGTACACTGTGCAAACACATACACACACACACACTAAATGTAGTTAAACAAAAAAAAAGTTGGGTGTGGTGGCAACATCTTTAATCCCAGCACTCAGGAGGCAGAGGCAGGAGGATCTCTGTGAGTTCGAGGCCAGCCTGGTCTACAAGAGCTAGTTCCAGGGCAAGCTCCAAAACCACAGAGAAACCCTGTCTCGAAAAACCAAACAAAAACAAAAACAAAACAAACCAACAACCTCCCTCCATGTAGGTAAAAGGAGAAGTTAAAGAACCCTTGAGGTCCCTTTGTTTTTAAAACAGAACTAACTCACAGAAAAACATGGCTTCTCCAGCCAAGGGCAGAGGGTTTCTTTTTTTTTTTAATTTTATTTACTTATATGTATGAGTGTTTTGTATGTATACCTGCATGACAGAAAAGGGCATCATATCCTATTACAGATGGCTGTGAGCCACCAAGTGGTTGCTGGGGACTGAACTCAGGACCTCTGGAAGAACAGGCTGTGCTCTTAACCCCTGAGCCATCTCTCCAGCCCTGACTGAGGGGTTCAAACTCTCGTGTCTTCCACAATAAACTAGTCCAAACATAAAGATGATAAAACCCAATGCCTGAGTGGCTATGGAGAAACTTCGCCATGGCTGGAGAGATGTGACCTAGACAGATACCTAGCAACAGGGACCAGCACCTTCCAAATGGCTATGTCCTAGACTTGGCCACTCTGTTTCAGAAACCATCCCACAGGACTCCCTAGCAAATCCATGGGCAGCAGTGTTCTAGCAGAGCGGATGGTGTGACCAACCACAAAAACCTGCACAGGAGAAGCTGAAAGCCACACGAGCGGGGAGGAAGGCCACAAGAGGGTCTGGGCAGAGGTGGAGAAAGCAGGCCATTGAGCAACCAGCCTGATAAGTCTGTGCTCATTGCTTGCAAAGCTATGGAGGTGCTGTGCTGAGCCCAGGGAGCGCAGAAGGATGGAGCCTGGATACACAGACACCACAAGGACAACACACAGTGCTGAGGCCTTCCTGGTGGGTGACAGCAGAAAGACACAAGATGAGAAGCTCGGCTCTTTCAGGTGGAGTGGCCAGGCTCCTGAGGAAGTGACACAGGGGCTTCCTGATTTCAAGAAGACTGTGGGGACACGAGGAAGGTCCTTTGACAGCGAGAACTTAAGAGGACATAGTGGCGCATGGGCAAGAGATGAGAATTAAGATAAATTACAGGAAGTGGGGGATCTACCAGGGCTCCCAGCTAGTGAGAATGATGAGGAGCTGGGGGGACAAGAGTTACGGCAGGGACACGATGAATGGAGGTCTGGACTTGGGCATCATAGTGGCCAGACTCACCATCTGTGTAGGTCAGAACTTGTACTTCGCCTAGATGGAGTGGGAGTTAGGATGGGGCGGCGAAGACTCCAGCCACACACAGGGGTGGCTGGGAAAAGAAGTCCGGTGACATAAGCGGTCCGTGCTTCCTCCTTGCTAAACCATGGCCAAGGGAGGGCTGTGGGCCAAAGGAAGCTCTGGAATTGGGTAAGTCTCAGCCTAGAGATTTTCAAACCCTGCCTTGACCAGCCTTTCGGCCAGGGGAGTCCTGGACGCAGAAGTTGCTGGCTGCCTTACTCAAGAAACCTCAAGCTGCTGGTGGGTGGTCAGGAAATACTGCAAACCTCGGCAAGTCCCCACCAACCTGAAGCAAAGTGACCAGGATGCGGAAACACTTTCTGAGGGGCAAGGCAAGCTGTGGAGGAACACAGCTCCCAGGTGACCCTGTGCTAGACGGGGAGGGGGCTATGTCTCCCCCAGTTATCTCAGCAGACCTGGGAGGTGGGTGCCACTCAGAATGCCCTGGGAGCAGAAAAGGGCACTAAGACACAGAGAGGCTCAGCCCCACAGCTAAGGTGCATAGAGCCCTGCACTCAGCGGGCATAGGCGCTAGGTAAAGGTGTGGGACTTGGAGGGAATGCATGCTGCTGTCAGTCTTACAGTATACCCTGGCCCCAGCCCACCCACCAGGGAGTTCAAATTGTTTCCAGAAGGAGCTGCGGAATTGGGATTCCTCCTGCTAGGATGCACCAGTAGGCTGACTTCTGGGGTCTCCTTCTGGGGCACTAGCACTACCCCAACCCCCTTCCCTCCTGCTGTCTCCCTGGAGCGGCTGTGGGGCTCTGGGGTGGAAAACAGGGCTTAGGGCTTTACACCCACCTGCTGGCCGTGCTGGCTGAGCTGGCTGTGCCTTCTTCGCGGACTCTTTCCACCTGTAGGAGGGGGACACTGTTACCTCCTCCACCGGTCACACAATGATGGGTGTATGTGGTTCCTGGTAACACCCACTAAGAGAGGAGATGCTTGTCAATACCCCATTCCCCTGGGAGGATAGCGGGGTGGGAAGTTACAGTCCACGAAGTAGCACGGGACCTCAGTCACCCCACAGCGCCTGCCAGGCCTGGCCTGGTTCCCCCAACATCCCCAACCAGGCCCCAGCCATGACGGACAAAGGTCCAGCCTAGGAACAGATGCGAATCACGAGGATGGAGGGTGGCCAGGGCTTCCTTCCTCCCTCCAGGCCCCCAGGCCGGTCGGCTGCCCCGCAGCAGCCACGTGCAGGGCAGGAAACCCCCCAGCCCGAGATACGGCTGAGGTTGGATGGAAGAGGGGCGCCCCTGTCTCCCCCAGCCCCATCTTCATTACCTGACTGCAATCTGCTCAGCTCTGTTCTCACTCTAGGCTAGAGACTTCGGCACAGCCCTGCTCTGCGGAGCCCAGGGGGCGGTCCTGTGTCCCTGGGGGTGTGGTGTGGCGGGAGTTTCCGCAGCTAAACTCTAACTTGCTGCAAACCCGGGCCCTACGGAGGCACCAGCGCGCTGAGAAGCCCCAACTTAAGCAGCTCTCCAATGACCAAGGCCAGGGTATGCACAGGGCTGGGACACTTCTGCAAGGCTCCTAGGTGACTGGGTGTTCCCCTGACTACGTGGGCCTCCCCAAGGACCACCTCCTCTCGCCCTCTTCCAAAGCCTTTGTGCTTACTGGACGAGATGTGCTCCTTAGCTGGGTTCACGGGGGCAATTGATTCAAGAGAAGGTTAAAGAGAAAATTTTTCTTTTTTCTTTTCTTTTTTTTTTTATTTTTACTTAAAAATTTCCACCTCCTCCCCTCCTCCAATTTCCCTCCCCCTCCCTTTCCCCTCCCTCTCCAGTTCAAAGAGCAGTCAGGGTTCCCTGCCCTGTGGGAAGTCCAAGGTCCTCCCCCCTCCATCCAGGTCTAGGAAGGTGAGCACCCAAACAGACTAGGGAACAAAGCCAGTATATGCAGTAGGATCAAAACCCAGTGCCATTGTCCTTGGCTTCTCAGTCAGCCCTCCTTGTCCGCCATGTTCAGAGAGTCCGGTTTGATCACGTGCTCCATCAGTCCCAGTCCTGCTTTGGTGAGCTCCCATTAGATCAGCCCCACCGTCTCAGTGGGTGGGCGCACCCCTCAAGGTCCTGACCTCCTTGCTCATGTCCTCCCTCCTTCTCCTCATTTGGACCTGAGAAAATTTTTATGTGCACATGGAAATGGTCCCAAGAAGTCAGACCAGGATGTAGCTGGGGAAGGAATGACAGCACCCATGCTCTCTGGGTTGGGGGCGGGGTAAAATGGGTGGGTTTCTGAGCATGCTCATTCAGACCCGCTGCAGTCCCAAATAGAAGACCTGCTCCAACCTTTTCAGAGTCCCAGCCCTTCAAAGCTACCGCGTGTGAGACTAAAAGCCTTCTACAGTTCCAATGCTTCAAACAGCCAATATGTCAGTCCAGCCTCATTAAGTGGACCATCTACAACACCTGTTTCACTGTAAGCGCCTACAGGCTGTGGGCTAGCCTCCCTTCCCCCCTCATCTAGTGGACTACCTCAAAGCTGCGGTCTGACTTCAGCAACAGCTCCTGCTGGGAGTTACAAACAGTGCCGACAGGAGGTGCCTTCGGCTCCTCACCCTCAGGCTCCGACCCCCTGCTGTACGGGCTGGTTCCTTTTAGCTCTCAACTTGACACAATCTAGAACACCTGGGAGAGAGTCTCAGTGAGGAAACTTCCAGATTGGGTTGCCTGTGAGCGAATTGTTCACTGGTGTGGGAAGAACCAGCCCACTGTGGGCGGCATCATTCCCTTGGCAGGGGTCCTGCGCCATAGGAGAGGGGAGAAAGTTAGTGGAGAGCAATGAAGCGAGCAGGATTCATGAGTTATTCTCTCCCTACTCTAGACTGTGAGCATGAGGCTATTAAGATCCCGCCTTGATGTCCACACTATAATGGCCTGAATTGCGAGGTTTTCGTCAGGGCATTTGTGACAGAAATAGAGATGAAGCTAGAACACCGTATAAATTAGTAACTGGGTGTTGACCACCTGTGGTGGCTACTGCTATTAAATACTGTAAAAGATCCAGGTCAAGCCAAGCAGTGGTGACACACGCCTTTAATCCCAGCACACAGGAAGGAGGCAGAAACAGGTGGATCTCTGTGAGTTTCAGGACAGCCAAGGCTGTTACACAGAGAAATCCTGTTTCAGAAAACCAAAAGAAAAAAAAAATCCCAGTCAGTCAAAGCAGTAAGGCAAGAAACAAGGAAGGTCGAAGATTAAAAAGAGAAGCGCTGTCCTCTGATGCCATTGTGATCCCTGCCTGGGACATCCCACAGACACAGCAGACAGACACCCGGTTCTGTTTAGATACTCAGTGACAGTCATAGAATGACTTCAGTCCCCGTAGAACTCTCGCCCCGGCTGGGTAGAGAGGTGAGGCCACCGTTCAGTAAGATAGAACGAGTTCAAGAAGCCTGTGAGCTTGGGTGGGAAATGGTCTTTATTTCCAGTCATTTGTGGTAAGCAGCAAACCAGAAATCACGACAGAGTCAGGTGGTGGTGGTGCATGCCTTTAATCCCAGCACTCAGGAGGCAGAGGCAGGAGGATCTCTGAGTTTGAGGCCAGCCTGAACTACAGAGTAGGTTCTAGGACAGCCAGGTCTACACAGAGAAACCCTGTTTCAAAAAGCCAACAACCACAATAATAAAAATCACAACAGGTAAATATCTTAATATAACTTCAAAATCATAGTAGTTAAGAGTAGCTATGAACTGGGTTTTCATTCTTGTGTTTGCTTTTGTTATCTTGTGATAGTATCTATGTAGTCCCAGCTGTCCTGGAATTTACTATGTAGACCAGGCCGAGTTCGAACTCACAGAGACTACCTGCCTCTGCCTCCCAAGTGCTGGGCTTTTCATGCTTATAGTTAATATTCACAAAGAACAATAATTCAACACTGCATTTCAAGGTCACTTTGTGCACAGCGAGAACATTGCTCTGAGAAGAGGCCACAGTTTGCAAAAAGCCATGGAGTTGGGTGAGGCGCTGGGTCTTGGAGGCGTGGCCAGGGAGTTAAATAAGCGGGTCAGGAGCATGGCCAAAGAGAAAGGCTAGCGGACTGGGCATGACGAAGCTAGGGAACTTTGTGATTAGACATTGCCAACCTGTTCTCAACTAAAGTTGCTGCTCCCTTTTGCCCCCCCCCCATTCACACTTCTTCCCCAACTTGCCTGAGAGTCAGCCACTGTCCAGTAGTTCTCTGTAGTGGTCCTGCCCTCTCTCCTGATGCTCATAGAGCATATCCAGGAAGATGTGAGCCCGTCCCTGAAGGATGTGTCTACTTGAGCTCTCTTCCCTCTCCCCCAGCACGAGGAGAAGGCCGCCTCCAGGGGTTCACGTGTCCCCAGTGCTCCTAGTTGCAGCAGCCGACCACTGACCACTTCCCTTTGCAGAGCACAAGCTGGGTCCAGGCTCTGAGAGAACATGAGAAAATCAAAAGGGAGTGAAATGGAACCGGGCGGTGGTGGCGCACGCCTTTAATCCCAGCACTCGCGAGGCAGAGGTAGGCGGATCTCTGAGTTCGAGGCCAGCCTGGTCTACAAGAGCTAGTTCCAGGACAGGCTCCAAAGCCACAGAGAAACACTGTTCCTGGGATGGGAGGGTTTTCCCAGACTTACATCTGTTGCCTGGGCCCACTCCGTGTGACTCACCACCAGCTGTAATAGCCCCATGACCACATCTGCATGGGGTCGGGGACCTGTGTGTAATGATGCAGCATGGGAAGGCTGGGAAGGGAGCTCGGTGGAGGAAAACTTGCCGAGCATGTGAAGCCCTGGGTTCGAGCTCGGGCACCACCAAAGTGTGTTCTCTGATGCCAACGTCGGCTTTGTTGCTCAGAATGGTATAGAAGAACAGAAGGGCAGCAGTTGGCATCAGGCCTGGGGCTCCCTCCATCCTGCCTGTGCTAGCTGGGTGAGCTTTCATACATTCAACAGATAGTCTCCGAGTGTCACCTAAGTGCAGACGTCAAAATAGCAGAGGCCGGTGGGTACCACCAGTCTGCACCAAGACCGTTCTGTACAGAGAGACACAAAAGAGCATGGTAAAAGGAAGAATGAGGGGAGCTCATGGCCAAACATGGCAGCTGGGGGTGGGGGTGGAAGTGAGGACCGTTGAGGTATAGAGGTCAAGAGAGGATTCTCAGGGAGGTGACATCTAAATGCTACTAGAAATGAGGTGGTACCCACCCTGAGATGAGCCACAACCTTTGTTCTTTGTTCGCTTGCTTTTTGAGACAGGATTTCTCAGCCCTAGCTGTACTGGAACTAGTTCTGTAGACCAGGCTGGACTCGAACTCACAGAGATCCACCTGCCTCTGTGTCTCAAGTGCTGGGATTAAAGGTGCTATCACTGCCCAGCAAGTGACACTCTTAACACCCTTTGTAGTAAGAAAACAACACTTGCAAGGGGCCTGAGGTGGGTAAAGGCTGTGTTAAGACCAAAGGAGACCCAGGGTTACTGATGGATCAAGAAGTCATGGGCCTTTGAAGCAGGAAGGGACACAGTCTGATTGTGATGTGTGTGTTAAAACATACAGAACATGAACCAGGTGTAGTGGAACACACTTATGATCCTAACACTGGGGACACTGACATAGGGGGTAAGTTCATGACCGGCTTAGAAGACATAGAGATTTCCAGGTTAGTAAGAACTGCCAGCTAAGACCAAAAACATTAAGAGAGCCAGGTATGGTGGTGCACATCTTTAATCCCAGCACTCAGGAGGCAGAGGCAGGCAGATCTTTGTGAGTTTGAGGCCAGCCTGGTCTACATTGTGACACCTTTCTCAAAAGCAAAAACATTATAGCGAGAAAGGGCTGGCATGAATGCTAACATTTCAGCCACAATAAAACGTGTAGTTGGAGAAAAATTTGTGAAATCAAAAAAAAAAAAAACCAAAACAAAACAAAACAAAAAAAAAAAAAACGTGTAGTTGGGGCTGGAGAGATGGCTCAGAGGTTAAGAGCAGTGCCTGCTCTTCCAAAGGTCCTGAGTTCAATTCCCGGCAACCACATGGTGACTCACAACCATCTGTAATGAGGTCTGGTGCCCTCTTCTGGCCTACAGACATACACACAGACAGAATATTGTATACATAACAAATAAAAAAATATTTAAAAAAAACAAAACAAACGTGTAGTTGTGGAGGTGAGGTGGCTTAGTGGGTAATGTGCTTGCTGCTAAGCCTGAAAGCCTGAGTTTGAACCCTGGAATGCACACAGTGGAAGGAGAGAACCAATTCCTACAAGTTGTTCTCTAACTTATACACACACACACTGAGGCACACCCGTATACATACACACTCATCATGAACACAAATAAATATACAAGCATTAAATTCTAAACAAAAACCTCAACCCTGGCTCTGGTTGCTTGGTG